AATTTAAATGTCGTTAATTATTAATGTTTCACTGTAGTTATTTAAATAAATGCCCGACATTTGTGGATGTCGCATAGTGACGAAATCGATATCATCCGACCGACCGACAAAACACGACGACAAAGAAACAAAGCACATTCTACTGCTCGCGTCCAAATTGGCAATGCGTGCGATGCGGCAACGTCGCGTTTGTCGGTCGCATGCTTTCAAACGGAGAACCAGTTTGTTTTCTGTCGCATCGCACGCACGACGTCTGCACAACGACGAATGAACAATTTCGCCGAGTTGTTGATCATCGAGGTGCAGAAGAGGCCCGTTCTGTGGAACAAATTCATCCAAAACTCCACAAACCGTTTGTTAGTGGACAAGGAATGGGAAAATGTGGCAATGCTATTAAAACGAGACAGTAAGTCGTTTTGAATCTATCAGAAACTCCGAGCATATATTTCCAGTGAGCAGACCAAGAGTCAGGCTCTTGAAATGAAAACATCAATTCGTTAGAAAAATACGAAAAATATAATAAGCACAAAACTGTAACATGTTTATATACAATTTATAGGAAAATATTTTTCTGTAATTTCTCTATTCATATATAATGTATAGTGTGTACTTTCATCACTTATAATTCAACGTTTCATTGTTTATGACTGTGTTTTCAACAATTAATTACCATTGCACATTTTTTGTTAAAAAAAGAAACCAATATGGAGGTATTTTTAATCTTGATTGAAGCGGAGTGACCTGATCTGATGAACAAAGGATTTGTCTATTGTTTAATATATTGTATTAAATTTAAAAAGAGAAACAGGTACTTTCTTGCAATAAAATGTTACTTGAGAAGAAGATTTAAATGAAACTTGAAGGAGGAAAGAAAATTTGAGAAATCTAGAAGGAACAATGTTTTCTTAGCTTTTCACATTAATAACAATTATCAGCCGATTTTAAATTGGTTTCAACAAACGCTTCATTTCTACCACTCTCTACAGTTGTAGATGATATTTAATGAAAGTTCTTTTAACTACTTAAACTTATAGTTTCAACTAACACTTAAATGTATTTCACTTTCAACCACGTTGTAATTCGAGTATGCTGTAATTCAGTTACATTAATTGGCAATTAAATTGATCAAAAAGTTCAGAACAGCTGTTATTCAATCAGAACTGTAATTGAGTTACGCAATCGAGTCGATTAGCGCAACCTGTGTTTTCCAGAGGAGGAGGTGAGGCTGAAATGGCGCAACTTGAGGGACCAGTTCCGGAGAGAGTTGAAGAAGATGAGGAAGCCCCGATCGAAGGACCCGGGCGATCCACCGATCAGCAATTACAGGGGCAAGTGGGTGTACTTCGAGATGCTTTTGTTCCTGAAGGACACGATGATACAGAAGAGGACGGAGGACTGTTTCAACAATAATTTGGCGAACGCTGATGAGACGGAATGCAAGCAGGACATCGTGAACGACGAAGATCTGACGATTACCGAGGATTCACCTTTGACGTTGATGTCTCGCTGTTCGCCGGATGTCATCGACATCTCTCGACTGTCGTCGCGCAACGAGATCCCCGGAACTGTGAAATTCCGGGCCGCCAGATGCGGCTTAGAAGGCTCGCAGATCTTCGAGCCAGCGGTTCAGAGAAAAAGGAGGAAAAGGAAGGTTGCACTGAGGTTGTCCGACTTCGAGGAAAATATGCTGGAACTGGAGAATAAGAAACTGTCGATGTTGATCGAGAAGGGATCGTCGGCGGAGAGGCACGAGTCAGAAATCGACGAGGACATGCATTTCGCCAAATCTCTGGTGCCGTTTCTCAGGAGATTGAACCCGCTGAGGAAGTTGGTCGTCAGGAACGAGATCCAGAATCTGCTGATCAAAGAGTTGCTCGACGAGTCGTCAATCTCGTCGAGTGTTTCGCAGACTTCTTCCACCACGCACTGTAGTAATAATAATATATAATTGTTTAGCGTTCGCTGCCTTGTAAAATCTAGGAATTAAAGTATTTTCTTATTAACCGGCAATTTTTGCTGAACAGTATGTCGCTAATTGATTTTGTATTGTTCGAGTAAAATAATTGTTTAAATGACAAATTCGTATTTTTGTTAATGCGATTAAAGGAATTAGGTGATGCATATCAAAACACATTGTACTTAGGACATTGCGTGCATTTTTGTACAATAAAAGATTGTTTGATCTGATTTATTTATTATTTATTTCTGTTATAAATATATTAATTAAATTTATATTTTTCATATATTAATATTTTGTATTATATTATGTTATTATTTTATATAATAACATTATATTATATCTTTTATATATTAATATTATCGTCTCATCTGGCAAGTCACCTATCAGTTTCAGTTGATGCGATTTTACATAAATAAATAATAATTAAAA